AACCACTGAGCTATCTATCTATCTATCCAACCCTGAGTTTATTTCTTAAGATGAAAAATAAAAATTGCATTCACACTTTTCAACATCAACACAGGAAATTGCTCAAACATAGACATATGCATCAATCTACAAACATCTACTGTGTGCACCTCTTTGTCAAACCATCCATGAAATCAGAGGTCAGGGGGTGAACACCTACTCTTCTCAAGAGCTCCCAGTCTTGTCATATATGATATTCATAAAGGGATGGGAAGGGGCAGAGGGCATCTAATAATGAGCCTCTGTTGAGTATGGCCCTTAAACAAGAGCTTCTAAAAGAAGATGTGAATTCATGGGAGTATTGGTTTACCAAGACTTTCAGCCATGTATAAAGATCCAAAATAAAGCATCATTTTTCTTAAAATTACCAAATTACACATTTATGCAATTAAATTTACTTCATGACAAAATCATATCACACACTTTCTAGCCATTTTAGTGTACTGAATTATATTAATGGTGTTGCAATTTTTCAAACTATGATTATGTCCCCCCAAAAAAATGTTGGTTAAGTTTATAGGTAAGAATACATAATACGGTGATCACTATCTATCAATGCTTTAACATACTTCCCCATCTTTTACATTTTTTAAAATTCCATAAAGCGGTTTCTTTTCTTTTTCTTTTTTTCCTTTTCTCTATTCTTCACACATGCAATATATCCTGACCATAGCCTCCCCTCATTCCCCTCCTCCCTGTTTCCCTACACACACACACCCTCTTCTCCAGATCCACTGCTCCTCCCTTTCCACTTCAGAAAAGAGCAGGCCTCCCAGTGATAGCAACCAAACAAGGCATAAAAATATGCAAGAGGATTATTCAAAAACCCTCATATCAAGGCTAAATAAAACAGCTCACTAGGAAGACAGGGTACCATAAGCAAGCAGAAGAGTCAGAGACAGCTTCACTCCCACTGTTTGAAGCATTACCTTCCTATCTTCTTCTCCCTTTCCCCCCTCCCCTTCTCCTCAGAAAAGAGGAGCCCCCATTACCAATCCACCCCAGCACATCCAGTAGCATCAATACTAAGGGCATTCTCTTCTACTGAGGCCACAGCAGCACAGCTCGGGGCAAGTGATCTATCTAACCGCAGGCAATAGAGTCCACGTGAGACACAACCCAGGCTCCACTTGCTAGGGAACCCATATGAAGAACAAGCTGCCCATCACTTACATATGCGTCGGAGCCTAGGTTTAGTCGATGTCTTCTCTTTGGTTGGTGCTTCTATCTGTATAAACCCACATGGGCCTAAGTTAGTTGAGCCTTTTGGTCTTCTTATAGAGTTCTTGTCCCCTCTGGGCCCTTGTATCCTTAACCCCACTCTTTGACAAGACCCCATGAGCTCCACCTAACATTTCGGCATCTGTTTCAATCCATTCTTGGGTGGGTCCTTTCAGAGGACAGTTAAGCTAGCCTCCTGTCTGCAAGCATAGCAGAGTATTATTAATACTATCAAGGGTTGGCTTTTTCTAATGGGGTGGGTCTCAGGTTAGGGTAGTCATTGGTTGGACATTAACTCAATCTCTGCTTCATTTTCATCTCTGCATTTTTTGTAGGTAAGGTAAATTTTGGGTTGAAGATTCTGTACGTAGGTTAGTGTCTCCCTTCCTCCACTGGAATTCTGCTTAGCTATGAGGTGGCCACTTCAGTCTCATGTACCCACTGCCGGGTGTCTCAGCTAGAGTCATCCCTATATCCTCACAGGGGCCTACTTTGTCACAGGTCTCCAGCTTGTGCCAGAGATAGCCCCTTCACTTTTTCTTCTCCCTCCCAGACCTCTCGTCTTTCACCCTCACTCTCCCCACATTTGTTCCCCACTCTCATTCCCCTCTCCACACTCTTTCCCGCCCGGTTCTCATACTTCTTCCACTTCCGGTATCTATTCTATTTCCCTTCTGAGTGGGATTCAAGAATTCTCTCTTGGGCCGTCCTTGTTACTTAGATTTTTTTAACTACTTATAAGTGAGTACATACCAATGTGTCTTTCTGGGTCTGAATTACCTCGCTTAGGATGATATTTTCTAATTCTATGTATTTGTCTGCAAGTTTCTTGATGCCCTTGTTTTTAATGGCTGAGTGATATTCTGTTGTGTAAATGTACCACAATTTTTTTATCCATTCTGCAGTTGTGGGACATTTGGGTTGTTTCCAGTTTCTGGCTATTATGAATAAAAGCTGTTATGAACAAAGCTGAGCAAGAGTCCTTGTTATGTGGTAGAGTATCTTTTGGGTATATGTCCAGGAGTGATATGGCTGGGTCTTGAGGTAGAACTCTTCTCAATTTTCTGAAAAAGTACCAGATTGATTTCTAGAATGGTTGTAGAAGTTTGCACTCCAACCAGCAATGGAGGAGGGTTCTTGCTCCACATCCTAGCCATCATTTGCTGTCACTTAAATTTTTGATCTTAGCCATTCTGACTGCATATGTCTTGAACTCATCCCATATCGTTTGTTTTACAGTTAGTACAATGTCAATATTACATTGCAAAATACTTAGGTATATGCTGAGATTTTAAACTTACCGATAGTTTTATTTGATTTACTCATAGAAATATCAAGTCTAGCACTTTGTCATGCTTCATCACATGGAGCTTTACAAAATAATCACATGTCTGTTTGGAATCCAGTTGAAAGTATTTTAAATTAATTCTGTGATTCTCCAAGCTGGATCTAGATGCCTCAAGTACATGCTAAGTTGGCATTCATTACTTCTTATACCTAGGTCATTTTCAGAGCTGCTTCCTGCGGTCTCTGATCATCTGTAGTGTGCTGAGAGATGATTCCCACTGTGGCAGCAATGTAGCTGGTAGGATTGGATGGGAACCACAGGAGACAGCAATTGTCAGATGGAAATTAATTGATCCTAATTGCATTGCCATTGTATTGCACTCTGAGTCTATAGCTTGTTAAAACCACCGATTATGAAAATAAAGATCTTAATTTCTGCTGTAGGATATGGTAATGAAAAACCGCTCTTAGAGAAATGATCAGTGAATCAATCAATGAAAATTAAGAAATTAAAGAAGAAGTTAAGTAGCCAGTCATGAATTAACAGCATACTTTAGTAGTTGGGAAAGCCATCAACTGTGCAGTGTTTTATACTGAATTTTCTGCTTGTAACTCCTGAATGTCAACTTTTTCCCACAGAAAGCGAGATGGATTCTGTGTGGCTTTGTAACACCCTTTGCTCTGAAAAACAGATCTTTGCTGTAAGGAGGATTTAGAAAACAGATGTGTTTGATTTACAGAGCCTTTATCTTCTGGGAAGTCTTAACAGGAAGGTATCTTAAAACAGAAAACAGCTCCGATTATAATCAAAAAGGACATCAAAAGTCCTGTTTTCATTGTTCATTTATAACTTATGAGTGAGGATGGGATCATTAATCATCTTATCTTTCATTCAGCACATTTGATTGATTTGTGGTGTTATGGAGATCATATTTCTTGTCCATATTTTACTGAGTACCAATTCTGATTAGGCCTCAAAATATCAGATCACCAGGAAGTTATGAAATTAAGGAATGGGTAGACCTGGGACTGAAACCCCTCAGGTGAAAACATTGTGACTAATCTACCTCTATGAAAAGGAAATTTAATAATAGTAAATACTGAATAATTTATTCATCTTTTGCTTACATGTATTTTTCTTGGCAATTGCAGTGCGAGTGCTGTTAGAGCTTCCATTGCTTAAAACTCTGCCACTAGAAAAAAATGTCTAGATGAGGGAATAGAATATCCTGTAGTTAGGATATATTTATGGTTTGTTTAATATTTCAAATGCAGGTATGTACTTTTAGCTTAATGAAAAATAAAAGTAGCTATGATTTAAAAGTACATATTTAAAGGAATGTTGAAATCATAATTGCATGCACCACTAAATACTTTCTATGAGTATTCTTCACATGTGACTGTCTTACAGAATTTGGAGCATTGAAATTTTAATTACCTAATGAAATAGGAATGTGAAAGAATAACTAACAGTTATTAGGTAATTATAGCTATAAGCAAAGCACCCCCAAATGACATGCATCTCCACATAACTGTCAGTATATACATTGATCGAATGGTTAACTATATTTGGCAGCTATAAAGGGTATGACTATCATGTTGTTTCAATCCTACATGAGGCATATTGGTTAAAACCAAAATAAATCAAAGTGGTTGTATTGTGTTCGGCTTAGGAACATTCAGCAGTTCCTGTTATATGTGCACATGGGGTCTCCGTAGAGTGACTCCATTATTAAAATACAACAAGGAGAGTATCATTGGGAGATTGGTACCAATACATGTATTGGATTCTGCCTGGATGTTCAAGCTTTTACCTATAATGATGCAGTGTTTACTTCTATGCATTCCCACCTATATAACATAACTCATGCCCAGCATTTACCATGCAAAGTATAATACAAATGCTGTTTATGTAAATGCATTTTCTTTTGTTTATGTAACAGTGTTGAGAAGAAAAAATATAAAGAGATGCAGTTTAATTGTGCTTCTAGTGCTGGGGATTGAATCGAGGACCTTGACATGCTAAGAGAGGTTTAATTATTTAAGCCTTTGTTTTTTTGTTTGTTGTTGTTGTTGTTTTTCCAAGAAAAGGCAATGCTATACTGCTTAGCCTATTTTTGAAATCTGTATGTAGCACAAATTTTCTTTGAGTTTGTGATCCTCCAGCCTCCTTCCATGGAATGCTGGCAGTAGAGAAAAGCCCGGTTGCAAGTTATTTTTCCTTATTCTTTTTCATCTGTAGTTAGTTGAATCCCAGGATAAATAGAAGGTTGACTACAAGACAGCTTAATTCAGCTGTATATGTCAATTTAATTGAGGCTCAGTCCTATCTGTCTCCGGCCCCCGTGGTTATTCCTATGTATAGTCCTGGACTCAGGAGTCCAGCAAATGATGGAAGTAGTGTGTGTTAGAATACATGTCAACATGTGTTCTCTCTTCTCTCTTCTCTTCAGATACTACAACATACTCCACCGAACGATCTGAGCACTTCAAACCCTGTCGAGACAAGGACCTGGCGTATTGCCTCAATGACGGTGAATGCTTTGTGATTGAGACCCTGACAGGATCCCATAAGCACTGTCGGTAAGCCCCAGCAGCAAACAATTTAAAGTGCAGACCCTCCTTGAGGACCAGACGTGGAGGGTAGTAGTCAGCCTCGACAAAACACTGTCTGGGTGTGGATAGGGATGCTGTTTTAGTGGAGAAAACAACATGGAAAGGAACAAGGCTCGTTATCTTGTTCTTTTTTTGAGGAAGGAACAATTGAAAAAAGGTTAGATGTGGTTGTGTTGTGCCTAACAAGTCAAAGAAGATTTACTTCCTACCTGCCAATTTAATGGGGGTGATTATTTATTCTCTGAAGCCTGTGTTTATGATATGAGACCCACGCTTGTACCCTAGCACTAAGAAATAATCCTTTCTTGCAAATCTGTAAGCTTCGGTAAGAGACAAAAACTGCTCATCTTAGACAAAGAGTCTTGGTGTTTAATGTGAAGCAAACCCCAGAGGCTGCACATGTGTCTGGGGAGAGGTGTATTTTATTTTGATTCTGGCTGCACTTATTAATTTCATACTTAAAAAAAAACAAAAACAAAAACAAAAACACCTACAATGGGAGCTGCTCTCCAGCAAGATGTTGTAAATGAAATGATCGTCCTGCTTGAGCCTAGGCAGAAAACCACTTAAGGGAAATTCCCAGTAGATTCAGGAAGGTGTTTAATTGGCTTTCAGAAACACCAGGTTATATAACTACTGAAAATATAAGCAAGGGGAAATAAACAGTGCACTCCTAAACACTGCCGCTTTAAGGCTCGACAGAAAAATCAAATTAGCATTCAAAAGATATTTCTCACCATGCTTTTATTGCTAGCACTACCCTGGTAATTTGTTTTTTCTTGCAATTGTACATGCTTCAGTGACCATATGTATCCACAATCCTTCCCTTTCCTTTATTTACACTTCTTATATGACACAGTTATTAAATTAATTATGCTTAATCATGAAGCTTGAAAAATTGTGACTTTTTCTCTCTATTGCTTTATAAAACTTTATTCCTGTGTTGTTTTATTAAGATGATTCAGAGAAATGTATCTTTTAGTTGTGGGTTGAGAACATGACAGCAAATCTGGCTTGGTTCACTAACAACCCTGAGTCCATGAGGAGGATGTGTGGCTACTTAGTGGGCAGAGATACGGGTGCGAAAGAACTGATCAGTGGGAGTAGGACTCTTTCTTGTGAGCTTGTCTCTCAAAGCAAAGAGAATGCAGTGGTTCTTTTTCACCTAGGACATGGAACTTTAGCCTTTTTTGTTGCATATTCTCTTTTCTCTTCTGAATTTACCTCAATTACAAAGTTTTTATTTCATTATTACCCTCTTTAAACCAAGTGGGCAAAGAGAAGAAGTAGGAATAGTTCCATCCTCACACTTTTTTTGTATTTGTAATGCCCCTGAGAATGCTTGTAAGTAACATACAAATGACTCGAATCTCTACAGGGAAATATATGTGTATATATATGAATATATATAGACATCCTTTTCAGAGCCTGGTATGTGTCCAATGTCTTTTAGTCACTCAGCCATATGTTAAAGTTAACTTAGTCCACATGATGAGGTCATGGTGAGGAAATTATTGCTAAGGTTTGTGGCATAGTTTATTACTGGACATTCATGTGCTAGAAGCATAGTCCTTAGTGCACTGATAAAGAGGTGACAGCTTTGAAGAGTCGGGGACTAGTAACTAGGTAATTACATCACTGAAGCTCCACCCTTGTGAACTGATTAACATTATCTCCCCAGAGTGTGTTAATTTTAGTAAGAGAAGATCTGTTTTCTAATGAGCAGGTTGTTCTGAGTAAGAGCAACCAAACTTCTTTCTTGCCTCCTGACAGTGGCCATGTGTGCACCCTTTTATCTATATCCCGTTCTTGTTTGCTTCTCCAACACACTGTGGTAAGAGTATCACTGGGATACTGGCACCTTATTGTCTGTTTCTCTGGTCGCCGGAATAATAAGCCAAATTCGTATCCTTATTTTACAAGGTACTTAGCCCCACATATCTTGTTATAGTAATAGCAATAAAAAAAGATGTTGTCAATTAAAGCTGACTTCCTCATCCACTGAAGAAGAGGTGAATTAAAGGAAACAGCTAATAGTACAACTTTCTTTGATGGTGTTCCACCACAAAGATGGATCATATCTAACCCAACCCGAGTATGCCTCTATGAGTCATCAGTTCTAAAACTGAGTATACAGAAAACAACAGAATGATTCAAAGCCCTTTGAAACATATGGTCTCAGTAATTCCTTAAGTTTGTGATCTTATTATTACTCGTTTTAATTTTTTTTTATTTTAGAGCAGTTAAATGTACAAATTATTGGTGTTAATTGTGGAATTTCCACACATGTGTACATTATTGAGCTATCGCTCCCAGTCTTCTACACAGCTCCTACCAACTTCATCTTCCAGCACCCATCCCTATATCTCTTCAGTTTTTTCCCTCTTCTTTCCTGTCTCTACTCTCCATTACTTCATTTCATATTTCCATGGTGTATTAATTTTCTAGTTCTCGTAAGGCCAATTATGGAAGATCACATAGTTTAACAACTGAAATCTGTTTTCTCCCAATCAGGCAGATTAGAGGACAGTGATTGAGTCGTCATTGGGGTTGGTTTCTTTTGAGTACCCTTGACTTTGGCTATGTGGGACATTTTCTCTCTCTGCTTTTTCACTGTATTTGATCTTGATGTCTGTGTTCATACCTTCCCTCTTCTATGGATATAGTAGATTACATCTCATCCTGTGACTTTCTGCTAACTTCAGTCTGATTTGGAAAATAATGCTGTATTGCTTGCTTTGCAGTTTAAGTCTTGGGAATTTCCCACCTGAGGTTGCCAGAAAAATCAAACAAATAGGCAAATATAATCCCTCAGTAAAGAATTTTTCCACAAGCATGCTCACACTCTAAGACATTGGAAATTAATTGTTCACCATGTGTTTTATTGAAACCCAGTTGAACACATTTCTACAGGTCTCATGTTCAGAAAGGGAATTTTTACTGTCTGTATAAATACATGTGAAAATCTAAATTTTGTATCTCATACAATTAGAGATGTAGTCATGGCTCAGCTAGAAGGATGTGTAATACTTGGACCTTCTGTCTCCATATTTCTTGTGTATTTTGGTTCAAACACTGTTATTTAACAGAGACTGACAACAAAGGTAATCATGACAAAAGATCAGCCTCATACAGAAACTCAAGTATGTTAATAGACACCTAGCCTATAAATCTCTTACTGGTAAGTAGGAACATCACTCATTATACATACATGCTATTCATCTCCTGGGCCTTGCCGTGATGATCACACATCACAATTGACTGCTATTCATCTCCCAAGATTTCCTATGAATAAAAGACACAGATTTCTGCCTGCATAAGCTACTCTTTAAATTTCTGAAGCTGTTATTAATGATATGCCATTTGTGTTGCACTCTTCTTAAGTAGTATGTTCCATTCACTCTTCCCCTGTTTGGCAAATGTTTATTGAACATTTCCTATCACCCAGATACTGTTGAATAAATACATACAGAAATTAATTTAAATATTCATTGTGGTGTGTTTGCAAAAGTGGAATGTTTTATCCTTCAGAAATAGTTTCATACTTACAAAATATCAGAAATAATGTGAAGTACTTGAAGGTGACTGGGTTGACTCTCGTATCATCTTTATGATGTATTAGTTAGTGGAAATGTTTCAAGTAAAATAAGTCTCTATTTGGTGCATTTGAACAGCAACATAAATACATGTATATGTATGGACTTGCTAGTATTTTTTTTTCAGTTACAAAATTCTACCTAAATCAAAATCTGAGATCAATTATGATGGTGTTTTCTTGACTTTCTTTTTAAAAGTTGCAATGTTAGAACTACGTCAACTATATTTCCATGCTTTCACACCATCCAGTAACAAGGGTTCCAGCATATATTCAAATTATTCTTCGTCAAACAACCCAAATGTTCATTCAGATCTTGGTGAGGTTACACACACCTATGATCCTAGCACTCCAGAGGCAAAAGCGGAAGGATCTCTGTGAACTCTAAGCCAGTCTGGTCCACATAGCCAGCTCCAGGTGATCCAAGGCTACACAGTGAGACTCTGTCTCAAAAACTAAACAAGAACAAAAGCAAAACTATACCAACCAAACAAAAAAAATGTTCAATGAGAACAGAATGAGGAAAGGTCGTTATGATTATTCTCGTGTTATATTTTCCATTGTTTATCAATTTTTATAAAGCTCCTATGGATCACTGAAATATTAATGTATATATAATACATGTATTAAATGTTAAAAGAAATACTAACATCCTAAAATAATTTATCAGAAGGACTTTAAAGGGAAATGTGCAAGTAAATAAGTACAATTCATTCTTTTAAATTAAAATATATTACGAACTCAGATATCACCTGCACAATAATTAATGAGAAAGCTCCCTTGTTTTGTGGGTGATCCATAAAACAAAGATGGGAACCAGAAAACCATGAAGGGCTGACTGCTCAATAAAGTGTTCTCAAGCAAAGGAAACCCAAAGCATATGTTTCCCATACTTCGTTTATAGAAAGTTATCACCACGGATAACTAAGGCTAATGTAAAAGTAAGTAAATGAAGTCCAAGGAAAAGAAAAAGCTAGCATATTCATTTATGTCAGCAACTAAAAGGACATTTTGAACAGAAAGGAAACAATGGAAGAAAAATTTAAGCATAACATTGCTTGGATCTGAATATTTGTAACAGCATTGTTTTTTTTTAATCTAAATATCATATCAGAAAATAAAGATATGAGAAAACTGACTAGCTAACATTGCTAAAACTTTGACCCCAAACTTACCCTGCCTAAAAGATGTTCAGGATAAAGATAAAACAGATAGAGCAAAAACTGAGGGAATGCCCAACCAGTGCCTGGCCCAACCAAAGACTAACCCTATGGGAGAGTGCCAACCCCTGACACTATGAACTATGCTCAAATAAGCTTGCAGACAAGAGCCTATGAGAGCTACTCTCTGAGAGGCTCTAGCCAGCAATGCC